CAAGACAGTCATGGAAGAAAGCACTTCGGGCCAGACCAAGAATTTGGACAGACTACAAGCCTGGAGAGTACGTGTTTGTTTACCGAGTCCCAAGACAAAGGAAAAGAAAGCACTCAGCTCCAATCGAGGAGCACTCCAACAAGGCGACTTGGGTAGGCCCTGGAGTTGTCATCATGCCGGATGGCGCGAATCTATGGATCTCGATGCTGGGAGAAGTTTGGAAAGTTGCCCGAGAACAATGCCGACCAGCCACCGACGACGAGAAGACAGGCGTTGAAGCATGATGAGCGAATGCCAAGAGTTGATAGAAGAATTCAAAAGGGCACCTCACCGATCTGGGTACAAAGACTATACGGACGACCCTTGGCCAGATGATGAAGAAGGCCAAAGTCCGGATGAAGAGCCAGGTCGAAGGGTGAGAATCCAGCCAGATCCTGATGAGTTGAGCTATGTCCCAAGCGTGGCAGACGAAGAGATTGAACCACTCCCAGAGGCGCAGGTTCGAAGAAGATCCATAGCCGAGCCAGAGCAGGAGGAAGCGCCAGCCACACCACCATGGAACCCCTATCCAGATGGGGCGCCAGAGACTCCACCTCTACCAGACCGAGCGGGGATCACCGCTCCAGCTGGTCCAGAGGATGCAAACCACTCCAGAGAGACTTTGGACCGCTCCATCAGCCAAGCCTGGCGACTGGACGGACATCCAGATCAATCATCAGGTCCAATACTTCGCTTGAGACAACGATACCAAGCGGCAGCCCCCTACTTGACAGAGAAGGAATGGTACTTCATAGATGACGAGGAGGCCACGGACGTGGAGGAAGAACAGAGACAGGTGGAGGAAGAGCGCAAAGATCGGGCCAGAACTCTCGACCGTCGTCACCGCCACAAGGACTACTGGGAAGTGAACCTCAAGGAGGGCACCATGACCCGTCACCATCTGAGGAGGAGGAAAGCCCCATTCGATCCCAGGGTCAGTGGAGACGCTCCATTTCCAACAGAATGTCTAGGGCCCGTGCGCAAGACCATCCTCTGCCAGAAGAAGATTTCTGACACCCAGGAGGACGACTGGGTCAAGAAGGAGTTGCGTCCGACAACATATTGGTGGACGGGTTCAACGACCTTCACCGTTAAGAACCCCAAGGAGCTGGAGGCATGGGCTGCGGAAAGGAAGGGTCAAGATGATGTGGACCTAGCCCAAGAAGACGAACAAGGTCGTGAGGAGTGGGCTCAATCAGACCTCTCCGAATGGACAAAGGTCACCTCCAGTGGAGCAGTTGAAGTGCTCTCCCTAGAAGAAAGAGTCTCGGAAGATAAGGGCTCAGCTCCGACAAGAAGGCAAAGAAGATCGAATCCTCCCCACAAAGATTGCCCGGCGATACAAACCAGCAGAGCAGCCAGGAGAACCACCAGTCAAGAAGTCCAGACTCTGCATCAGAGGCGACAAGGATCCTGATGCGCTTGAGCTGGAGAGGTTCGCACCCACATTGAACACAGTGAACTTCAACATCCTGCTGCGGATAGCCGCCAACCAGACCATGAAGGCGACAGTGGGAGATTTGAAGAATGCCTTCTGCCAAAGCAGGCCGCTTCTACGGCCTAACGGGGCGCTCTACTTCCAACAGCCAAAAGAAGGGGTGATCGGGCTACACCGTGAACAAATCGTGCGCATCATCAACGGATGGTACGGGTTGGTGGATGCACCACTCCACTGGCGCAAGAGCCTCACAGAAGACCTGAAGGCCCTCGGCTACGAGTCATCAGCGCTGGATCCGTGCATCTTCAAGCTCTACGATCCGAAGCGCCAGACGCTTCAAGGAGCGATCGCAGTGGAAGTTGACGACCTCTTCACGGTCGGCCATGAAAGGCACCATCAGATGATGAAGGAATTGCAGAGGAAGTACACCTTCGGCAAGTACGTCGTCTTGCAGGACGAGCCCGATGGTGCAGCCTTCAATGGAAGAAGAATCAAGCAAACTAAGGACGGAGGCTTCCTCATCGACATGTGCAAGTTCGTGGAAGAAAGACTCCAACAAGTCACCCTAGAGAAGGGAAGAAGCTCGCTGAAGAAAGAGCCGGCGACTGAGCGTGAGAAAAGTGAGGCCAGGGCCACATGCGGGGCGTTGAACTGGCTGAGCAAAGAGGGGCGACCAGATGCAGCTGGTCCATCAAGTCTGATGGCGTCCAAGTTGAGCCGCCTGACCGTCGAGCAGCTCAATTCGGTGGTGAAGGACCTCAAGGAACATTCCACCTTGAGCTTGATGATTCAGCCCCTGAAGAAGATGAAGCTCAGCGTGGTCACGGATGCTTCGTACGCCAACAACGGCTTCCACTCTCAAGGTTGCCATTTGGTCATCGCCCATGAAAGCTGGCTGAGGGATGGAGTCGCAGCTCCTACCAACATTTTGTCCTGGAGGAGCGCCAAACTGCAGCGAGTTGTGAACAGCGCCATGGCTGCCGAGACCCAAAGTCTCTCCAAGGGGCTAGCTGAACTTACCTGGACTATGCTGCTGATGAAGGAGCTCCAGGACGGCCGATTGAACATAAGAGACTGGCGCCAACAGCTGAAGACCGAAGAGCTCATGGTGATCAGCTCAGAGGCTACGGAAGAGTACCTCAAGGAAAGCCTGGCAGTGGTCGACGCAAAGTCACTTTACGACCACTTGTCACGAGAGACCATCGGTGGCTCAGACAAGCGGACGGCCATCGAGATCCAGATTGAACCCATGGCCATGATCGCAGACGGCCTGACCAAGATAGGTGGTTCGAACATAGCTTTGCGGAAGGTGGTCATGTCTGGCATGTTTAGCATCAAGCCGACAGATGACGCCATGCAGTTGCGAGAGTCCGCCAAGAAGGCAGGCCATAGCACGGCCGAGATCCGAAGGTTCGGGAATGACCATATTTTGGGAGGCTGTGAAACTCGAGACATCGGTCGATCCAAGCTGAGTCCCGAAACCTCGGTTGCCATCCCGGCCCAATCATAGGGGCCGTATCTTACCCCAAAGCCATGCCGTCTTTTTGCAGGAAAAGGTTGTGAGGCGGCCGTGCGATCCACGTGTTCTACAGATAGAACAGGTGAATGTCCAAATTCATGTACCTGGTGGCTCTCTACTCCCAAAGGGTGTTTGGCTGCTGAGGTTGTCAACATTTGTGTGAGAAGAATTGTCACGAAGAATCCTGTGGCCAATGTGAAGTGAAGGTGGGTACAAGAGTGTGCAACAGCTATTTGGCTGAACTGCTAGTCTTTCCACTTCTTGACAGCTGCTTTTGCCAGGTGCAACGCGAGTGTAGATGTTCCAGGACACGCAAGGAGGTGGTTTGTTCAGAAGGCCATCAGTGGTTCGGAAGTCAGAAGATGAAGCCATACATTCAATATGCGGCAACGATAGATGACATAGTACTTGATACATCTTGATACATCTTGATACATCTTGATACTCGCTTCCGTCCCTGCAGTTGGCGATGTGATGTGCCACCAAGTCTGTCGCACCAAGAAGACCTGCGGGACGCCTCCGTTTTTGCAGAAGTGAATGTGCAGAGTGAAGTATGGGTTGAGAGGCAGCTTAGAGGTAGCTTAGAAGCACGAACTACAGCAGTTTTGGTGCTTTGCTGAGGACATTAGCAGTCATATGAGCGTTCTTCGTTCATTTTGTTTTTGTTTTTTGCAATTCCTCTCACGTCGCAGTCTTTATGGCTTTGGCTTACTTGAACACACACACACCCACACACCCACACACCCACACACCCACCCACACACTTAGGATATGGTGTACTGAACTGAATGCGGCGCCGCACGCCGGCCTAGGGTTCCATTTCCTAAGAGTACAAGTACGAACCACGGGATCCTGGAGGTCTTCAAACGGAGAAATGGCTCAAAGAAGAAGAAAACGAACGACGGACGAACAGGCTGACGACGTTCCGCTCGCATCTGCAGTTCCAAAAGACATCAAAAGGACATCTAAACTGCGAGGTTCTTGGCTTAGCCTCATGCCATTCAGAAAGGAAGGAAAATCGCAGGTACGCCAGACTGATCAGGTCTGGTATCACGACGACATGGATGGGTCTTCGTTGGCTCGTGCCACCCATGCGTCCACGAGCCCCCTGCTGTGACATAAACAAACCAGAAAAATCCAAAAGGATCCCTATGATTCCAAGGGTTACACACACACGCCTCCCCGAAGGGAGGCAAGATTTTAAGCTCCGCGCCAAAGGTAGGGTGAGATTTCAGTGAGGATGGTTGGTGCAGTTGCCAGCTGCACAGTAAAAGGCCCAGGCACCCCTGCACGCGGTTATCCAGTAGGGTGTAAACCCCGGCGTAGGGAAGGGACAGGAAAGGTGTGTGGAGGCGCAGGAAGAGGAAGAACAAGAAACGGAAAAGAAGTGACCGTTTCGTGTAAACTGGAGGAAGAATGGTTGGTGCGGTTGCCAGCTGCACACTGAAAGGCCCAGGCACCCC